GGAAATTTTTTTCTTAAAAACTTTTTAGTTTTTTAAAAAAAAATTTTTAAAAAAAAAATTTTCTTTCAAAATTAATTAATTAATTAATCTATAACTTTTTCCTAATTTTTTTAAAACATCAATTCCAAAAAAAGTAAAATTTGTTTTGCAGAAAAAAAGTGAATTTGCTAAAATCAAAATTGGTAATAATTTGAAACGGGGGGGGTTTTTTTTTTTCAAAATTTTTTAATTTTCAAAAAAATTAAACCAATTTCTCTTTTAAAAAAAAATTTTTCCCTTTTTTTTTTTTTTTTATAATTGATATGGGGAAAAGGAATAAAGTAAGAATTTGGTAGTTCATTATATGATAATCAAATTTGTATGATGAATGAAAATACATTAAAAAAAAAAAAAAAAAAAAAAAAAAAAAAAAAAATTTAATTTTATAAATTTAATTTTTTTTTAAATTTCTTTAAAATTTTTTAATGATTTTTTAATTTTTTTTAATTAATTGAGCGCTTTTTTTAAAAATTTTTTTTTTAAATTTTGAATTTTATTAATTATAATATTTTTAATTTCCTTTTCAAAAACCTTCACAAAACCATACTGATAAATCTAATATTGGGGTGCTATTTTTCACTTGTATTGTGTTTTTTTTTTTTTTTTTTTTTCATTAATTTTTAATCACTAATTATTTTAAATAATTTAATTTTTTGGTAATATTTACCAAACATAGATTTCTTTTTTTTTATTTTTTTTTTTTTTTAAAAAAAATATAAACAAATATTTTACTTTTTTCTGTAGGAATAAAAAAAAAGTAAATAGTTTTTAATTTTCATAGTTTTTAAAAGAAAGTAACAGCCAAGATACGAAGATTTGGACGTTGAGTACCTTCAATAATGAAACCAAATGTGTATGATGCACCAGCATTGATTGATTGTTGGTATGATGGAAGAGTTAAAACACCATTTGGTAAACGAACAATATTCCAAATTGAGTTGTGGTCACGTAATCTTAAAGTGTAGTCAGAGCCAATATAAATATCTTTAATGTTTCTATTTAATCCATTTTGAATGATAACATCATATTGAGTGTAAGTTTTACCACACGAACCATCTACCCATGAACCAATGAATTTGAATTTAAGAGTAACTTCACATTTGTTATGTGGGACACAACCGCATTCATTACCATGAGTACGACATACATGACCATAATCGCAAGAGTTGGATCCACATGGATAAGTTGGACGTGCAGCAAAAGTTTCTTCAGTAGAATCTTGAGCAGAAACAAATGCAATAATAAGCAATAAACCTAAAATTATTGATAATAATTTCATTTTTTTAATTTAAAAGTTTTTAATTTTTTTTAAAATTATAGTTTTTTTATTATTTGTTTTTTGATATGATAAATAAAAAAATTTTTCAACTTTAAATACTCAAAAAAAAATTATATATTTATTTTAAATGAAATATAGAAACAACTTTATATAATATAAAGTGGATTATTTAAATTAAAAATAATATAAAATGTATAATTTTATTTAATTAGTGAAATTACTATTTAAAAAGTAACAGCTAAAATATTTAAATTAGCAGCTTTGGTACCTTCAAGAATGAAACCAAAAGTGAAAGAAGCACCAGCATTGATTGATGGTTGGTATGATGGAAGGGTTAAAACACCGTTTGGTAAACGAACAATATTCCAGATTGAGCTTGAGTCACGTAAATTTAAGGTGTGATCAGTTCCAATGAAAATATTTTTGACATCTCTATTTAAGTTATTTTTAATGGTAACATCATATTGAGTGTAAGTTTTACCACATGGACTGTCAGTCCAGGAACCAATAACTTTTTGGGATAAAGTAACCTCATGACAGTCATTGATTGGGATACATGAGCAAACAGCATCAAATGTTCTACAGACTTGACCATAATCACATGAGTTTGTGCCACATGGATAGGAAAGCAGATGATAAAGCAACGGTTAATAATAAACCTAATAAAACAAATAAGAATTTCATTTTGAAAAATTAAATTGTAGGTAGTTTTTTTTTATTAAAAATAAATATTTTGAATAGTTTGAATTTTAAATATATAAATAAAAATAATTTTTTATTCTATTTATATGTTTTTATTTTTTAATTATTTGTTTTGAAATTTTAAAAAATTTAAAAAAATTATAAATTAAAAAAATAATTTTAATCTATTAAATTTAATAAAGAAATCTCACCATATATAAATCATTCAACTTTCAAATATAGAAATTCATATATTAATTAATTAGCAAGTGATTTAAAATGATAATTAAAAGAAAAATAAATAATTTTACAAATAGTGAATTCAATTTAATAAACTTAAAAAAAAAACCCCTCCCTTGCACTAAAAAAAAAAAATTTACCCCCACCCACAAACAAATACATGTATGAAAATAGTTTATAGATTATTTAAATTATAAAGAATAATAATTATATTTCTTTTTTTTTAATTTATTTAACAAACTTAATATTTACAATTTATTTTTATTTTTTAATTTATTTATAATAATAATATTATATTATCATAAAAATTTATATTTTATATTTATCTAACAACTTGGAAATTACCATCAACCTTAATTGCTTCGTTGATTTCATTTGGTGATAATTCAGTTGAATACATTACTTGTTCTGAAACACTTTTCTTTGGGTCTAAACGATCAACTAACAATCTACCTAATAAATGATCATATTCATGTTGGAAACAAGCTGCGATAATACCTTCAGCGTCAATTACTCTTTCTTTTCCGGTGATATCCAAGAATGTGATAATACATCTCTTTGCTCTTTTAATTTTTGCGAAAATATTTGGAACTGATAAACATGATTCATACATTTCCATAGTGTTATTTGAGGTTTGTTTTAATGGTACTGATCTTTCAAATGTTTGTAATGACTTTTTATATCTTTTTAAATTTAAAATTTTCTTATTGGTTGTAATGGAGAAACCTGGTGGTGGCATATATACATCTTCTTCAATGATTTCGACTTTTGGATTAAAAAATGCTGTTAATGGGAAATTTGGGCAATGTACTGGTAGTCCTTGTGAATCGAATTCGAAAAGGAACAATTGCTTATTGATTCCAATTTGTGGTGCTGCAATTCCTGTACCAACATTACCCATTTCTTTTGTCATTCTATCGATAACTGATTCTAAATATTTGACATCCGACATTTCCTTTGCTGTCCATGCTAATGCTTTTTGTTTTAATACTGTATTACCAACTTTTAAAATGGTTGATGAAATATTTAATGGTTGCATTCTTTTATTAATATAAATATAATATATAAAACGAATAAAATTAAAAAATAAAATTTAAAAAAAAAAATAAAAAATAAAAACGAAAAAAAAAAAACTGAAAAAAAAAAAAATAAAATAAAATTAATTAATTTAGAGAATCGCCTTAAATTGATATTATTTATATTTTTATTACTATAATAGTTGCGGTGAAGGTGGATATTTTAAAATAACTAATAGTTGTGTTATTGATATTAATGAAGCTAGGAAATTTGGGATATAGATATATTTATCAATGATTAATAATCCAAAAACTAACCAAGATAAAGAACACATCATCGATAGAACAGCAACACCTTTGAGCATACCTTCGCTATTTTTTATCTTTATAATTTGAAACAGTCTTTCAAGAGGAGCGGCAAACATTAATATGCAAACAACACTTGCTTGAAAACCTAATCTTTCTACTCTTTGGTCAAAATTATTATTGGTACCTACAAAACTTATAAAAATAATTGAAATTGCTAAAATAGATGCTACCATAATCTTGTATAAATAATCTCTAGATGAACTATACAGCCAATAGTTGTATACATAATAAAATGCAAGTAATAATCCTACAGAATTTGTAAATAGCATTGTCCCATTACCAGTTAATATTCCATACGCTATCCATAAAAAACAATTTAATGCTGTTGATAAAAACTGTATTCCTGCTACTGAACCAACTGTTCTTTTTTCTTTAATATTTAAAATTGTTTTTCTAAAAGATAATAAAGTATTAGTACTAATCTTTTAAATTTTAATGACATAAACTATTTAAAATATTTACAAAGGCATAAAAAACACACCCAATGTTGAAACAATTGCAATCAACTGAATAAAACCTAATAAAATTTGTTGATCTGGGTTGGTTGCCATTTTTATTTATGTTTATAGATTTATATATTATATTTTATATTTTATATTTTATTTTACAATTTTTTTTGATATATCAACCACTAATTATTATATTTATATATGATTTAAAAAAATTAGAGTCTTTAGGTATTATAATCTATTAAACATTATTATTATTATTATTATTATTATTGTTGTTTGGAAGTGTTAATTAAAATTATTAAAAATTAAAATTAAAAAAAAAAAAAGAAAAAATTTAAAAAAATTTATAAAAAAAAAAATTAATTTTGTTTGTTTTTTAGTATTTACTTTTTTTTATTTCATAAATTAATACTTTGTTTTAAGTATTTTTGTATAAGTGTACTTGTTGTTTAAAAACTTATTAAATATTTAATAAATTTTCATATATTTAAATATTGATTAAGTAATAAATAAAAATAATAATATATTTATAAAAAAATAATAAAAAAAAAAAAAATGAAAAAAACGAATTTTTTATTTTTTTTTTAAAAAATATTAATTAATTAGTCAAAAGTGTATTTGTAAAGAAAAGAATCAAGCAATGATCGAGTGGGGTTTAGAAAATGGTATAGAGTGGAATAAGAGTTTAGAGTGTTTCGATTTTAAAGATACTGGGCGTGGAGTAATAGCAAATAATGATATCAAAGAGAATGAAATATTAATATCAATACCTTCAAAATATTTAATACATTCCCATTCAAAATTTTCAATACCGTCCCTAAATATACCAGAATTAAATAACAGTGATAGTAGCAATAGTAGTAGTAGTAGTGGTAATAATAATAATAATAATAATAATAATAATAATAATAATGACAATATTAATAGTAATAATAATAATAATCAACAAGATGATATTTATACTCCATTTCACAATTGTTTAAAAAAATTAAATTCAAAACAAAGAATATCTTTAATTTTAATAATTGAAAAACTAATAAAAAAACATTCTATATGGTTCAACTATTTAAGTTTGTATTTCTATTATATATTATTATATTAGTCTGCATGCAGCACTATTTATTAGTATAGTAATATAGTAACATTTTATTTTATTTTTTTATAGATGAATTACCAGATGACTATACAATAACATCAACATATTCAGACGAGGAGATTGAATCACTATCATATCCAATTTATGTAGAATCATCAAAAAAATTAAAGAATGAAATGTTAAACAGTTTTAAATTATTTTGTGAAATATTTCAACTTTATTATGGCACAGATTTAGATAGGGTGGTTATAGAACTAAATGACCTTCAAGTCAAATTGAGTGATATATTGAATAAAGAACTGTATATATGGTGTTGGGGTACAATACAAACTAGAACTTATTTTTACGATAAAAATATGAAAAAAAATAATAGTAAAGAAAATAATGAGGAAAAAGATGATTGCACATTGGTACCATTAGCAGATCTATTTAACCACACATCAAATGTAGAAACTGAGGCTTTGTTTAACGATGAACTAAATTGCTATCAGGTCAAAACAAAGACCCCATTTTCGAAAGGGTCGCAAGTATTCATAAGTTATGGTAAACATTCAAATTTCACTCTAATGAATTACTATGGTTTTATTATTGAAAATAACGATCAAGATTCAATACCACTATTACAATCAAATTGCATACCCACAGAATTTGCAGTACCACCCACAAGCTCAGACGAAGCAAAACTCTATGAAAAGAAAATAGGTATTTTAAATAACTATGGACTTTCAATTTATAGTGATGGTAAATTTCTAGTTATGCAGGATGAAAAACTTCCATTCTCATGGAATTATTTAACTGTTTTAAAAGTTTTATATATGACCAAAGAAGAAATCAACAATCAATTAGAATTAAACCTGTTCCATTATGACGAGCCTATAAGTAAAAACAATGAAAATCTGGTTCTATCATTTTTAGAAAATCTAACAGAAAATCAATTATCCTTTTTTAAAAATACCAAAACCAAATTAAATTCAAATAATATATCAAGATTTGAAATAACCTATTTAATAAATTCAAATATTAAAACCTGGGAATGCTGCAAATTGTGGTTAGAACAACAACAAAAAAATATTAACCAAAATGCAAAAGAAAAGTCTACAAATTTGGTTAAAACCACAACACCAAAAAAATCAACGAAAAAATCATCAAAAAAATAAAACTAAACAAAAACTTAAAAGGAAATTATTTATTTATTTTAAAAAAAAAATAAAATAAAAAAAAAATTTTCAAATAATTATTGGGTAAATCCAAAAAAAATATTTTTTTTTTTTTTTAAAAATTATTTTTAATTTTTTTTTATTTACCACATTATCAAAATTTTTATTTTTTTTTATTTTTTATTTTCTTAATATAATTATATATAATTTTAAAAAAAACATTCAAAAATGGTAAATATAAGCATAGTTTTTTTTAATAAAACTATAGTTTTATTAAAAACAAGAAAAAGATAAACAAATATTAATAAACAAAATTTTTTATGCAGTCAGACGAAAAAACTCAATTAATCGAAGCTTTCTATAATTTTGATGGTGATTACGATGGTTTTGTTAGTGTAGAAGAATTTAGAGGTATTCTTAGAGACGGTTTACCAATGACTGAAGCAGAAGTAGGTTAAAATAACAAAATTATAAACACTTTATAAATCATATTATTTATTAACATAATTCTTACTTATTTATTTTAGATTAGCGAATTTTTTGAAGCAGCTGATCCAAACAATACAGGTTTCATTGATTATAAAGCTTTCGCTGCAATGTTATACTCTGTTGATGAATCTTAAATTAGAATTACAAGAATAAAAATAACAATTATACAGAATTAAAAATGTAAAATAGAAATAATAACAGGACAATCAAAACATAAGAAACAATATTAAAAAATCACATGAAATTTTAATTCAACCAGATCAAAAAAAAAAAATTAAAAAAAAAATCACTATTTATTATATAATCAAACCAAATAAATCTTAAAAATGTATTAATATATAAAATTTTAACTTTTTTTAAAAAAAATTCATTAATTTTTATTTGGTTATTATTACTTTTTTTTTTTCATTTATTTGTTTTTATTTATTTGTTCATATTATATTTATTTCTCCCTGTATTGCCATTATTTGTCATTATTATAAAACTTATTTGCACATACAATTAAAATTCCCCCACCCACTATTTGTAAATTATACAAATAATTTTTAATGAAATGAATAAAGAATTTTTTTTTTTGGATTTTTTTTCAGCGTGGGGTATTTTTGGGGATAATAGAAAGTAAAATATTCCTATTTATATTAATATTATAATTAATAAAAACTTCGACTTGTATATTTTTTTTTTTTTTTTTGATTTTAATTTTGATATATTTGTATTAAATTTAATTAAAAATACTTTTATTTAATAAACTTATAAATAGTTATAATTATTTTTTTTATATTTTTTTATAAAAATATTTCTTTAATTTTAAATTTAAATATTTAAAATTAATTTTTTTTTAAAAAATGTACCAAATTTTTAAAAAAAATTTGTTTGTTATTTTATTGTTTATAACATTAATTTTCCATATTTTTTTATTATATAAATATTCAAATATTACAATCAACTCAAATATAGATAATCAAGAAGATAAAATCAAAGAGCAACAAGAGCATTTTATACAACATCATTTAAAACATGACATTCAACAAAAACCTCATAAATCACAACATAATTTAATATATTCAAACGAAGGAAATATTAATGATAATTTAAAAAAAAGAAAATTCTTAAATAAAAATAAGAATCAAAAAGAAAAACTTCAGATTCACAATAATAATAACTATAATAACATTAATCAATTATTAATAGATAATTTAAATAATAAAAATAAAAATAATAAACAAAAAGAAGAAAAAATTAAAAGAGAGGAAATTATTCAAAATAATTTTATAAAACAATTTAATATCGAAGAGTTAGATGAAATATCATCATGGCAACCAAAGACAATCGTAGATTTTAATAAAGGCAACTCAATTAATACTCTACCTGAAATATGCAAAGAAATAGATAACGACCTTATCAAGCAATGCGAAGGAGACAACTACTACCAACCCGTTATAACCCCTACCCCTGTATTTGAAGAAGGTGCCAAAATGAACTATTCTTTGAAGCCTCATACAAAAGATAGAGCTAAATTTGCGTATTACCCAAGGGAATTTGTAGAGCCAATTATTACTATTTTGACACCCTACTACAATATTTTACCAGAGATTTTAGAAGAAACAACAAAGTGTGTTATGGGCCAATCTTTGCAAAATTTCGAATGGATCATCATCAATGATTGCTCTCCTAACAAAACTTTAGCCCAAAGTACCCTAAAGAAGTTTAAGGATTTGCAATTGGTCGATCCAAGAATCAAGGTTATCGAGTTAGAAAAGAATAAGGGTTTACCTGGTGCTAGAAACGCTGGTATAAAAATTTCAAAAGGAAAATATATTGTATCTTTGGATCCAGATGATTTAATTGAAAGTACATATTTAGAAAAAGCAGTATGGTTTTTAGAAACTCATAAAGAATTTACACTCTTTAATGCTTGGACAATCGGTTTTGGTCACAAACACTATACATGGCAAAATGGTTATCATAATGGCGATAGAAATTTATTAGAAAATCAACTCACTGTTGTTTCTGTTATGAGGGTAAATATAAGCATTTTACTTGAACAACTTTTAGTTTTTTTTTAAAATTAATTTTATTTAAACTTTTTTAATTATATAGACTGAGGTTTTAAGAAATATTGGTGGATTCAATGAATCTTTAAGAACTGGTATGGAGGATTGGGATATTTGGTTAAAAATGGCCGATAATGGTCATTGGGGTTATACAATGGAAGAATATCATTTTTGGTACAGAGTTAGTCCTCCAGGTAAATGGGCAGATATCGATGATCAAACAAAATTTCAAAACTATTTAGCAAATGCAAAGGCAAAATATAAAAATGCATATTCAAAAGGTGTACCAAAAATTAAAAGACCACCACAAGATAAAATGGAAGCTGTAGTTGACGAAATACCATTTACAAATAATTTGAAGAAATGTAGACCCAGAGTATTGATTTTAATACCCTATATGGAAGTTGGTGGTGCTGATCAGTTTAATTATAATTTTGCTCAAGGTATGGTATTGGATGGTTGGGAAGTTAGTATTGCAACCACAAAACAAGCCGACAATAAGTGGTTCCCTCAGTTTGCACGTCTTACACCGGATATTTTTGTTATGCCTCGTTTCTCCAAAATGACGGATCAATGTAGATTCTTAGTTTATTTAATTAAATCAAGACAGTTTGATGTTGTTTATCTTAGTAACTCTGAACAAGCATATCATTATCTTTCATATCTAAGAGCAAACGCACCTGGCCCTGCCTATTTAGACTACACTCATTCAGAAACACCTAAATGGAAAGATGGTGGATATGCACGTTATAGTTTTGGCTCTGAAAAGCTTTTAGATAGATCCATTTTTGCATCCGAACATTTACGTCAGTATTGTATTAATAGAGGTCATAATCCAAATAAAACGGCAACTGTTTTGATTGGTATAGATAGCGAAAAATATGTTCCAAAACCAGAAAACAGAGCATTAATCCGTAAAGAATTGGGTTTTCCAGATAATGTTTTGGTAATTGTATTTGTAGCACGTTTAGAATCAGAGAAGCAACCTGAAGTATTTGCAGAGGTATTAAGAAGGGTAGATAGAATGGGTTATGACTTTAGAGCAATATCAATTGGTGGTGGCTTACTATTAGATAGCTTAAATGAAACCATTATTAGAACTGGGTTAGCAGATAAAGTTAAACTATTAGGTAATATTCCAAACACCTTGGTTTCAAAATATGTATCTGGGTCAGATGTATTCTTTTTACCATCAAAAGTTGAAGGTATATCTTTGGCAATCTATGAAGCAATGTCTCAGGGTGTATGTGCAGTAAGTGCTAAAGTAGGTGGTCAAGCTGAACTTGTTACACCAGATGTAGGTTATCTTGTTGTACCAGGAACTCCAACAGAAGTTGATGAATATACAGAAATTATGGCAGATTTAGCTGCAAATTTAACACATGTAGCAGAATTGGGTAAAAAATCATTAGAAAAGATTTTAAATGGGTTTAGTGTCAAGGATACTTTAGTTCGTATGAAAGAAGAATTTTGCAATGCAGCAATTGTTACCAAATACACAACACCAATCTTTTCCAATAATATTTTTTCAAAATACTCTAATGAAATATCAGTTTTGGGTCACGAATATGAACGTTCAATTGATGAATTATTACCATTATGGAACCAAATGACCAATTTACAAAAACAATGCACACCACCACCACCAGAAGAAAATGTAATTAGAAAACCATCCCCATACCCAATTTATCAACCTCAAGAAGTATATAAAGGTCTAAACCACTCCAAACTCCGTGTAGTTACTGATATATTAGTTGAAAAACAAAAGGTAGATAAGAAAATGAAAATAGTATTAAAAGATTTCCAAGACTCATTCATTAGAAGGAATCCCAAATTTGCAAATAAGAATCTTAAACATAACGATTTCCTTCATCAGTATAACCATGGTGTCGAAAATTGGAATGATCAAATACCTTACCCAAACCCACAACAAGAATATATCGCATATATTCCCCATGCATTTATTGGTTCTGGTGATTCTGGCACTGTTTTCGATTGGGAGAGAATATTTTTGTTAAAGAAATCAACATACCAAATGTTCACATTACCAGCAGATGAAAAGTGCCAAGTTATCAAACATAAAAAGCTAGTTTCTCTCTTACAACTATACTTCTCATTTAGTAATTTTATTATTGATCAATTACCAAAACTATCAACAGTTTTAGATGAATTACTATTAGATAAAGAAATTAAAATTTTAGTTCCAAGAGTCGAATTTGCAAAGATTATTATGGTCGATACATTAAAATTCCCAGAACATAGAATAGTATATTTTAATCCAGGACCAGGATGGGAAGAATGCAAAGCATATTATGCAGAAACCTTGTTATTACCAACACCAATACCACCTGGTAATCCTTCAAGAGAGTCATTATTTAAATTAAGAGAATTCTTCTACAAACAAAATAATCTAATACTTGGCAACGATGATTTTAACGATAACACCAAAAAACCAATTATAATGTACTGCTCAAGAATAAATTCCGCATCACCACAAAGAAAAGTACAAAATGAAAAAGAAATTATCAATACAATTAAAAGTTTATTACCAAATAATTTCGATTTTTATTTTTGGGATGGTTCTGAAAATTTAAACTCAACTCTAGTCGAAATTACATCAAGAACTAAAGTTATTATTGGTATGACCGGTTCCAATTTAGCACCAATTTTAGTTGCAAAACCAAATACAATTGTTATTGAATTTATGCACGAAAATCCTTGGTTGGCCTATTGGAGTGCTTCATCAGCTTTAGAATTAAATCATTGGATGGTACCAATCATGGGTCATGGACACGAATCAAACTCTATACCTGTACCAATCGAAGAATTAACTAAAACATTAAATTTAATTTTTGATGAAGAAATAAAAAAATAAAATTTAAAACTTTGTGCGCAATAAACAGATAAATTAATTTTTTTTTTTTTTAAAATATTTTATTTTTTATATTGTTATTATTATTAATTTAATAATATTTTTAAAATGCGTTTTTTCTAGGATTATATATTTATATATTTTTAAAAATTATAAAGTATTGTTATTATTTATTATTGGTCATTTATTTCTATTATATTGTTATTATTGTATTATTATTATTGCACTATATTATTTAAAAATTGTCTTCTTGTAAATCGTTATCATTTAAAATTTGAGCATCATCATCCTCAATACCAAATTCATCATCAGCCAAAGAATTTGGTTTTATACCGACAACACTATATTTGGTATCCTTAGATAAACCAACCATCTTCTTTAATTTTTGTTTGAAATCTGGGTTCTTGTAAACGTAGAAACCAAAACCACCAAGACCAACAAAAAGAATAATAATTACAACAGCTGCAACCCAACCTTTACCTTTGAGTTTTGATGGAGAACCACAAATAGCAGTTTTTGGTTGATATTTAGATGAAACACCGCCAATACATTGAGATCCAGCAACTTTTCTGAACCCGTTTGGAATAGTATAATTTTGGCCTGGAGTGCAAGTTTTGGAATCGACTGGAACATATTTTGAATCTGGGTCGAGAATACATTTTAATTCTTCACTTGATGAATCAGAGTTTGAGGCACTACCGTCAATTGGGTTTGGAGATTCGTAACCAATATCACATTCGAAATCGTCAGCAGTACATTCACAGATGTCAACCTTAGTATTGACTGGAGCTGCGTTAAGAGTACATTGGGTGCCTGGTTTGATTACATTATATGATTTCTTTTGACCAAGAACACAATTTAAGGTCATTGACATTAAATCGTCTTGAATACAGTAACGTGGTTGGACTGGGGTAAGATCAACAAAAATAACCTTTGCAGTATCATCTCTATCTTCGACTAATAAAAGGAATTGATTGTTATTATTGTTTGGATTGGTGATAATATTAATGATATCGTAACTTGCTGGTAAGTCTATGCTCTTTGAAGTAACACCTTGATCAAAACTGTACATAACAGTATTGGTATCTTGCATAGCTGAAGCATAGATTAATGTAGAACCAAAAGCACCAAATTCGTAAATACTGCCATATTCGGCAATCTTTCTCCAAGTTTGACCATTATCGGTGGAAAGAACAGTTTTAATTCTATCAACTTTTGGACTTGATGAAAGAGCTGGGTTAGCATTACCAGTGGCGACAACTAAACCTGGAGCATTAGCGATGGTGTAGAATGGACCGTAACCTCTAGTTTGGTCGAGATAAGCCGAAAGACCATGAACATTAAGGGCACAATCTTTTTGAATGGTACAGTCCATGGTTGATGGTTTGCTGAGTCTACTCCATCTACCACCATTGTCATAAGTGATGTATGAACGAACTGTAATTGGAGCACCTGGAGCAGCTCTGGTGTTGGTAACACCATTGAAAAGGAAAGCACCTGGAGCACCATAAATTGGCATAAAGTCATAGAGACCATGTGAAACAGCGACGTGTTTAAGAGTTAAAGTGAAAATGTTACCAAGACTATTTGAGATATAAACGTGACCACTAACAGAGGTAGTTGATTCACCATCAACACTAACTTGGATACCCATATAAATAGCACCAGCACTATCGTCAAGAATACGGAAATCATTAATTTGAACTTCATCACCAAATGGGAATTCACATAATAAGAAACCATCAGTATTACCAACTTGGGCTGGTTCAAAGTTTGATCTTACCCAAAGTTGATTACCAAGTTTAGAATCAATAACGGCAACGTAAAAATAGTTCTTTGTGTAAATCATATCGACTGCACCATTAATAAGTGATTTTTGAGTTTTGCCTAAATCTGTAGTAACACTTAAAACACCAGTTGCAACACCATTTATAACGCCATTGTCAAGAATTGAAAAGAAACTTTTTGGATTCTTTGGATCCCATTCTGGAGTGGTATAAATTGAAAAGATACTTTGTTGTTTGTATAATTTACGACCATTTGAAACATCGGTCCAAGTGGAACCAAAATCTTCACTAATTAAAATGTTGGCTGAAGATTTGGCAATAAGTGTTTTTGGTTCGCTTGGGTTTACTGAAATGCCACCAAGTTGGTATGGAACAAAGGTTTGTTTGAATGTTTGGCCACCATCTGTTGAAACTGATAATGTAGTATTGATTGCTTGACCAACTTTTGTGGTATGAATAACTAAAATATTTTCATTTTTTATACCATCTGAAATTATATTTGCATTACCTAAAATTGTACCTGCATCAGTTTTGACTGGGTTCCATGATTTTCCTGAATTTACTGATTTTTGTAAAACAGATTTGTCATCTATAACAAGAATTGTCTAATGGAATAAAATAAAAATTAATATTAGTATAAGCACTTTTTTTTATTTTTTCTAAAATAGTAAAAAAATGAAACATACACCTGGAATGGAGGTATAGACCATTGAATAATATTTCCAATTAAGGTCTACAACTTGAAATTGTGGTCCATTATCACTATAAATTGCGACTACTAATAAAAGTAATAATGCTATAATCGATTTCATTTTATTTTACTATACTTTTTTTTTTTATTTACACATATAATAGTATATTATTTATATTTTAATATTTTTAAAATCTATAAGAAAAAAAAAGAAAAAAAAGATTAGTTGGAATGTCCACTAATTATAAAAGAGAAAATAAATAAAGTTATTGAAGAAAAAAAAAAAAACAAGAAATTTAAATATATACGAAAAAATTATTATATTATTAATATAATATTTTGAATTTGTTTTTATATAAATAAAAATAAAAAAATAAAATATTTATTAAAAAAAAAAATAAAAAATAAAAAAAAGTGTTAACTTTTAAAGATGTGTGGTGTTGTGGGTTACTAGTAACTATTTATTATATAAAATAAATATTATTAAAATTACTATTTCTCGTTATTTTTCTGGTAATATAGTTTTTTTTTTTGATTCTTCAACAAAGCTGGGCAATTAACTGTGTGTTTTTTTTAAATGGTTTTTCTTTTTTTTTTTATTTTGTTTTTTATTTTATTTTTTTTTGTTTTTTTATTTAATTTTTTAAACATTGATTTAATTAATTCTAAAAATGAATTTTAAACAAGAAGATAGATATTATAAAATTTTTAGGAAACTTACAATAACAATAATATAATATATATTATTTAATAAAAGCTGAAATTAAAAATGAAAAAATAAATTTTTAAAAATTTTTAAAAAAAAAAAGTTTTTTTTTTTTTTAAATATTTATAAAAAAAGTTTTATTTTTTTTTATTTTTTTTTATTTTTTTTTTTTAAAAATTTTCTTTTCTCGAAATGAAAAGGTTGTATAGTTTTCCACCCAAAATATTAGGATATTTTTTAATTATATGTATAATGACAGATATACATACACCAAAATAATAATTTTTTTTTATTTATTTATTTGGATCCAACCAAAAAAATAAATAAATAAAAAGAAAAAGAAAAATATAAATAAAAAGAAATCTTTTTATTATACTTTTCTTTTTATTTTTTTTTTTTTTTTAAGTATATTTTTATTTGTTATCTTTTTTTCAGTTTTTTGATTTTTTAGAAAATTCACTCCACATCACGATTTTTAAAAATCTAAGATTTGTTTTTTTTTTCGTCGTTTTCACACACAACCCAATTTTTTTTTAAAAATTAAAAAAATAAATAAAAAAAATTAATAAAAAACAGTTAATTATATATTTAATTTTTATTTATTTAGTTTTTTTTTGGTTGTGGATAAAGTACAATTTCGGTACATCTGAATAAAGCTAAAGTTTTATTACCATGTTTAACAATAGCATCCCAAACTTGAGTCGATCTACCAGCATGAACTAATGTTGATTCGCATTCTAAAAGATCACCTTCTGCGGCAGTGCCAAGGAAATTTGATTTTAATTCGATAGTTGTGAAACCAAAGGCACCTTTTGGTAGTTTGGAAAAACAACCATAGCCACATGCAGTGTCGGCTAAACAAATTACTGATGCAGCATGAACATATCCGTTTGATGCAACATGATGTTTTCCAACTTTTAAATTCATTTTGACTGTACCATCGTCTTTAACATCAACAACCTGTTAATAATAAAAAAATTAATATCCTATAATGTTAAAATTATTATAATATATTATAATATTACATCTAAATCCATATAATTTGGTAAACCTCTGCCTCCTCTTAATTTTAAGATATCCAACCATTGTTTGGATGTAAATTGGATATCTTTTTCATTTTTAAATGTTAAAAATGATTTCATATCATGAATTAAATCTGATTTAATTAACTCTTCTAATTTTAATGCATTGATGTCGTTATTATTAGAGGTGGTGAAAAATTTATTACTATTGTTTAAGGTGCAATTATTATTTTGTGTGAATAGTTTACCACTGTTTATGATTGCATTTGAATTAATATTGTTACATTTTAATTTATTAAGGGTTGAAAATGTCTTTAAAACGCTTCTATATTTGAACATTTTTATTGAGATATTATTTAATACAAAAGAGATAGTAATTATTTTTTTGTTTTAAAAAAAAAATAAAAATTTTGAAATTTTTTTAATTTAAAAATTTAAAAAAAAATAAATTAAAAAATTAAAAAATAAAATATGAAACCAAAATGGCGATTGATTTTTTTTTTATAATAATACTTATTTGTTTTATTTTTTTTTAGGTTTTTTTTTTTTTTAATTTTTTTTACCCTTTTCTTTTTTTTTTTTTATATTTTTTTATTTGAAAAATACCAGTTTTAACAAATTGGTTCAACTTTTAAAGGTTCTGGACCGAATCTATTTTTTTCCTTTTCAATGAATTCTTGTTCCCTTTCTTTTAATTCATTAAATTTGTATTTAAATTGTTCTCTTGATTCCCTTGCAGCATCATTGATTCTATATTTTAATTCATTAAGTTTTTCCATTGTTGGTTGAGCTGCATCTTTAATGTTGTCTAAAATATTATAGTTTGCATTTTCAATATTTTGAATAAGTTGATCAATTTCTTTTTGAATACGACTTGGTTCATTGTTCATTACTTCTTTTAATTGATCCTTTTTTTCTTCAATGTTGTGTAATAATTCTTTTGATTTTTCTTCTAATTTGTATACAGCTTGTTCCAAATTATCTTTTATTGATTCTTCAAAATTATTAAGTTTTTCAGGAAATGTGTTTTCTTGTTGTTGTGGTTGTGATTGTGATTGTGGGTGCTTGTGTCCAATTTTTTCATTTTCCAATTGTCTATTGAAATCTTTTGGTGGATATTGGGCTGGATGGGGTTTTAATTGACGTTCAACTTCTTTTTGAATACGTTCATCAATTGTGTATAGTGGTGGACCATTTCTTGGTCTTTGCTCTGTAACTGTTTTTGGATGTTGGTGTTGATCATATTGATGTTGTTTATAGTTCTTATAATCTTGATCCCTCATATTTTCCATTTCTTGTTGGACTCTTTTCTTTTCTTGATAATCATTTAAACGATTATTAATATCTTTTTCATGTAATTGGTGACCTGCTGGCATTGTTTGGCTTTCAGGTAATGGGAGTACTCTTGTTAAATCTCTATAGCTATTTTTCCACAATTCTAACCAATGATTAGATTTATCTACTAAATGCTCCATCCAGGAATGGCCAATGGGTTCAGTTGCATGGAATGGTTCAACTGGTTTGGGTTGGAACTGGTTAGTGTATACACCATATATTATTGAAAATACTAATATTGTAATTAAAACTTTAAATAAATTCTTTAAACGATTGTTACTTTCAATTCTTTTATTTTGTTCAATTTCGTTTGATAGTTGTTCAATTTCATTTAATTGTTGTTCTTCTAGTTCTTCGAGTTCATATAGTTGATTTTCCCTTAAATTATTAATATCTCTTTGTTGTTGATCTAATAAAATATCTTCATTATCTTCTTCATTTATAAAGTTTTCTCTTAATCTTGTTCTACTTCTTGTTTCGATTCTATTACCACCAATATTTTGTACTCTTTGTCTTGTTGTTATTCTTGTTGTGGTGGTGCTCGAGTTTCTACCACCTGTAGGTGAAAGTATTTTTTTTGTTGTTTTTGTTGACATTTTATTATTATTTTTATTATTTAAAAATTATTATAAAATTATTATTTTTTTTATTTTAAATTATTACCATAGATTATTTTTTATAAATAAAAAAAATGTAAAAAAAAAAATATGATAATGGATATGTGCAATATAAAAATATTCTTTGTGTGTTAATTAAAAATAATTAAAAATTAATTTTTTTTTTTTTTTTTTTAATTTAATTTTTCAATAAATAATATTGCAATGAATTTATTGGATATAAAAATGTGTGTATTTGTATCTATTATGTGTGTTTATTAAAAATAAAAATAAAAAATAAAAATTAATTTATTAATTATTTAAATAAAATAAATAAATTAAAATAAATGTTTAATAATTACT